TATGAAAAATTTTATCCAAACTTCAACAGTTTATATCTCACAATCAGACTGTCCAAACAAACTAAAATTTTACATGAAGTACTGATATATTTTTAAAAACTACCAAAACAAATTTCAATTACAAATTCATTATGGATCTTGAGATATTGCCAAAATTCTAATATTAGCTTTAAACCCTTGCTTATATATACATGTGTGTAATTTTTTTCATATCTCACAAATAAAGTATTTAAATACCATGAAACTTTGATTTATAGCTTCTCAACCTAATAATACACATTTTTGAAAATTTTGAGCCATAAATTCATCTAGAAACTTAAGATATGGCTCCAACCATTACTATCAATAAAATGACTGACTTATTGTCTTTGAATTACATGTGTTGTCTTCAATGCCTTATAATGCCTTTATCTAAGCTTAGAATTCATCAAAAAAATATATGAAAAGTATAGCCAAAAAAGTGCTCTCTCTAATTCTAGTCGCCGATCTTTTGTTGCTCTCTATAAGCATATGTTATGTTCCAAAGAGTGACAGTAGGTATGAAATTGACACCTTAACTTTGAGTGCCTATAACTCCTTCATAAAAACTCCAAATCACACAAAATTTTCACCCAAACCGTATCTAAAAACCTAAACTTGCTGATCTTAGCCTTTAAAGCTTGAATGATCTCAAAAAAAAATCCTAATCCCTAATAAGGCCTTGGACAGCCTCCTTGAAGCCCATTGGACATGACATTCGACCAATAGGAATGAAGATCTTCACCCCTGGCTTTCATCCAACCATACCTTCCTTTCATCCTTTCCAATAAACTTCCTAATAGTTTAGACTTTCATCTTTAGACTCAAACCTTTTGTTAAACTTTGTACTAAATATCCAAATCCTACATAATAGAAACACTATAATCAAAATAAATAAACATCCAAATGAATTTTCTTATATCAACTCTCTTTAAATTTACTTACTAACCACTCTAATCCACATCAAGATTTACAAACATAATATGTGTTTTAATTAATTTTTACATACTATAAGCAACTACAATATGTCAACGTTTATAACAAAATTTGATTCTTCTTTTACAACATACATAAATGCTTTTATATCTATCAATAATGATTTGGATATATTAATCTTATGGATTTTTACTTGCCAATAATATCTTAGACTAAATTATAAAAAAATTAAAATTTCAAGAAATCTAGTCTATTTGAAGGTTATATCTTTCTAATCATGATAATTCTAAAATAATTGGATTAAAAAAGAGATCTAATTATATTAAATACTACTAAATTATTATGACCACTAATTGCTACTTCTATTGGAATAGTTTCATATGTAATATCCCTAGAAAACAATAAACAACCATTTATTACTTCTACATACATAAGTTTGATTTTCTTAATTAAAAATATATCTTATTTTTTGACAAAATCTTTGTCAAAAACAAATTGATGCTTGTGAATTCAACAAGGTTAAGACTTTGTGATTTTTTGGTCTTAAACAAACTTCTATTATAAAATAAGGTAAGAGACCTTAAAAAAGAATAGAACCTTTATTAGGAATTCTATAAGATTTTAATTACACAATCCTTATTATAGTTGGAAAAACTCGTTTTCTGATACATTATCTTCTTTAGCAATCATACTCACTATTTTGTCATTGCATTGTTTTTTTGAACAATGTTGAGCAGTATACTTGAATTCTTCATAATATAGGCATAAACCTTTTTGACGACAATGAATCTTTTCTTGCTCATTAAGAGGTTTAAAACATATTATATCAATTTGCATTGATTTTGGCTTTAATGAATAAGTTTTTGAAAACTTGGGAGTTACTCTCATTACTTGACTTGTTATTTTTTAGCCAAATCTTTGTTCTTGATGCCTTTTTAATATTCAATTTTTGCATGAAATGGATTGAATAATAAATTATTTTAAAGATTCTACTTTTGACATTTTCAACAAGAAATCTTTGATATTGTCCTTCAATTCATATGAAAATTGATTGATAAACACTTTGTCTTTCAATCCACATTTCAAATTCAACAACATATATGGTAGTTGATTGATATCTTTGTTGCAAAGATAAGAACTTGGTTTTTATTATTCTTTTTTTATTATTTTCTCCAAATGTGATTGGAACCACTTTTAGGAATGAATTTAAATTATAAAAGAATTATGAATCTTTTTTCATTAGAGGTAAAAACCAAGAGAGAGCACTTCTAAAAAGAAGTATGCTTATAAACCTAATTTGAGTAAATCCATCAAGATATTGGAAAAGATGCAACTTTAAATAGAACTTGACTTATTGCAGAAATCCTCAAAATTTTGATCTTATTCCATCAAATTTCTTGGGCATATTAATCTTTGTCATTGTTGTACTTGTAGAAACAAAACATTTTGGATTTGGTTGAGAGATTGATCTACTTGCTTCCTTCAACTGCACAACTTCTTGAAGCAAACTTTAAACTTCTTCCATAGGCATAGGATTAGTGTTTCTTTAGTTGGTATTGGTGATGCATGAAATTTCCATAATAAGAGTGTTGACAAGTTTGTGAAGATTTGTAGTAGTTGCAAATCTATTTTTATTTTTACAAAGTAAAGCATCTATAATTCTTTCTTTCATTTCAAACAACTTAAAAAATCTACAAGTCAAATTAAAAGAGAGTAATCCACAACCTCTAATATTAAATGAAAATTTCTACAAAGAGAGATAATCCACTCTCTTTAAGGAAAAAATCAGTGTTAGAAAACTAAAGAGTTTGTTTAAATGTGGATAATCTGCAACCTTTAAAATACAACAATAAAAGTGAGGTAATCCACTCACTTTTAAAATAAGACAAAAGTAATGAACTACAAATCTTATCAAACTATCAAAGACATAAACCTCAAAGAACTGAAATACCAATACACTCTTGTATGACTCAAAAAGACTAAAAAATCACTCAAAGATGATATAGTATTAAGTTAGAATAACTATTGTCAAATACAAGGAGACTAGAAATGCATTGATACAAGTGAAGAAGGTTTCACTCTTACTTCCATATATACTCTTAATTAGGAGCTATGTGGCAATGTCCTATAGGACCTCCAAAACGTGTTGACTTTATAAGATACATATTTTAACTTGCAAGGTAAGATTTTTATATGTGCACCATAAAGTTAGTTTGTTCTGCAAGCTATCAAGACATGGTTAACTTATTGACCAAATTTCTAACCTATCAATGAGCTACAAATACATGTAAAGTCAAAATAGCATCTATAAAGCTTCTAGGAAGCTATTCTAAAAAATATTATGAAATAAATCTATTTTTATCTACTTCTATTTAATCATATAGGTAAATATTAGAGTAAATATATATATGTCTATGACAATTATGAAAAAAAAATTTGTACCACATCCTCATATTCATAAGTATATATATATATATATATATATATATATATATATATATAATAATTTTTTTAAAAAAATCTTTATTTTTTATTATTTTTTATTAAAAAATATACATATCAAGTTAATAAGAGGTTGCTTGAGGGAAATTAATTCTAAATTAATTACAAAAATAGATGGATTTTTGTTATATATATTATTTGAATCTTAAATTTAAAAAGATCCAAATTGTTTTTATATATCAAGTTAATTTAGTGGCCCAATGGTGATTAAGATTGTAAAAGAAAAGTGAAGATAGTCCAAGAATGATGAATCTTATTTAAGACACATTATATTAAATTGATGTCATACAACTGTATAAAAATAATATATATATCTATATATATATATATATATATATAGAAAATAGCATTCTCATATACATAAAACATTAAAATTGAAAATGTTGAATTTATCAAGAAATTATTTATCCATCTATATTAGTATCTCTATCTATTTATATTTTTTCAAATTAAAAAAGTCATGTCTAAAGTCAAATTTTCTTTAATGTCTATTTTTCACTGAATTTAAAGAGGAAAAAGTACAAGATAGAATTCTTTTCCTTTGACTTCATGTTGTGGATGTTATTTAAGAAGTTGACATTCATCCATATTATTGATTTCAGGGGCAATTTTGCTAAAGCATTGTATGAGATAGTAGAAGTCTTTAATTGAGTGGCTCTTTCTTTGTTTTAATGTATCATTGCAAATGTGCCATAAAGCCCATATTAGACCTTTGTGTATGGTTAGTCATTCATCTTACCATCTATAGCTATGTAAAAGAGAATAAAATAGTTCCTCAAATGGATTAAGATTCAAGTATCCTTGCTTCCAATCAACTATATCAAATCATCTAAATGTCTTTTTAGTATCGTTTGTAATAGAAATAAAGTATAAAAAATGAAATTTTCTTTTTGCATGAAAATTTTATAGATTACAATGTTCTATGTTCAATACAAACAAGTTTGAATTGAAAGTTTTGCACAAACAACTCTACCTATGAAAATATCAGTTTAAATAAAATTAATCTTTTTATTTATTTTAATTAATCTAAAGATGAGAAATACTCTTCTTGTATTTTACAAATGTAAGACAATGGCTTGTTGTTATTAGTTTGGATACCTACCTTATTAGTTGACCAGTTGGATTATTAAATTTGAGTTTACTATATATGTTTCTAAACTGAAAATGATATTAGTTATAAACTAAACTGAAATTACAAAAACATATTCCCAAATTTCAAAATATCTCCAAAATCTAAAATGAAGTGGAGTTCTCAAATTTCTGTTTTCAAGTTCCAACAGGTTTTTCTGACTTTACTTTCAAGTGGCTGATGATGAATAATTCACAGTATTCCATGCAATGTTGAAATGTGTAACAGGATTACGTAAAAGTTAGCTCACCTGCAGTCCCCACTACAGTTTCATTAAAAAAATTTGACATGCTTAAAGATGGACTGAAAATTTCGTTCGGCTCTGTCAAGATTTGTGACCTAGTTAGGGCTTTCTAGTATGTAGAACACTCAATGTGTTGCGAAACAATCAAAGCATGGAACATACAACCCAGAGTAAAATGCAAAGTTGTGGGTCAAGTGCTTCTTTACAAATTCCTGACATTTTCGGAGATAGACTCTGACATAGAGCAGGAAACAAGTATCTACGAATAATGGGTACTATGCTACACGCAACTTTCTGCACTGAAGTCTTCACTTCAAGTTGGGAAGATAAGGACCAATGCAGGGTGAAATAGCACTGTCCGGTAGCTGGCTAATCAGCTCCTGCACTGCAGCCAAAGCATTTCTTAATATGCTCTTTTCAATACACAGCAACTTCTCCGCTACTCTTTTCTTTGCGTTTTTCTTGGCATCACCACCCTGTACATCAAGCAAAAGCACCACTTAAAGTCCTTACATTAAATCTAATAGACAGGGCCTCGTTACTGTGATTCTGCAAGTGGATAGTGGAATTGACAGTATCGTCCCTAAATTGAAATTATATAATCTATGTTCTCATTCACGACTTTGCAATCACACAATGATTGAATTGGCACATAATTCTCACCTCCGTTGCATGGGATGATTTGTATCCTGCCAAGCGCTTCTCAAAGTACTGCTCTAATTGTTCTAATACAGCTCTCTCATTGCAAGCACTTACCTGCTCAAAATGAAATCACACATTAGTTCATTGCTTTGTAATATTCTATGAAGGTGAATGCCTCTTAGTGCCCAAGCACCCAGCAAAAAAATTAAAGCGCTAATACGAGTAAGATCATACTTGAAATTTCACATAGTAATTAACGAGGTCCAACTTACAGGGCAAACAGGCCCCTGGGCAAATGAGACGGTCTCCATCTCTTCAGGATCAGCCAAATGCGCGAGTCGCATGTAAGGTAACATGTCCAGGACAGCTTCCATTTCTTTGCCCTTGTATATCTGAACAATCGTCACTACAGCGTTACAACCCAAGTAGTGAAAGGTTGGTCGGAATCTCCTCAGGCACGTGTGGGCGACTGGTCAAAATCAAAGTTTAATTTATATGAATGATACAAAAGTTGGATAACGCTTTTGCTGTAGAGAATCACCTGAAAAGTTTGTATAGTCAAGCGATTGTTCTTTTGTACGATAGCCCTTTTCTGTTGGTAAAGAGGATCCTCTGTATCCAATGATGCCTGCACAGTACCGTGAGTTTGAAGCAATCCAGATTCTACGTTACGTTTCACAAGTATCTTATGGCAACCTGGCGAATTAACAGAAAAGGTGAACAGCAATTACATGAGCAGACGAAAAATGAACTGTAGTCGATATTCGTGGAGAATTGAGAAAGGGACGAAAAATACCTCGACGGCAAGTCGATCGTAAGGATTATCTTCATCTACAAACCCGTAGTTAAGCAGCAGCTTAGAGTTAGGCTGTGGACCGCACCTGTCACATCCCTCTCCGCTTAGTTACCCAAAAACGTTTCTACAACTCGTATTTATTTCCGCATAACTGGGATGGCATGATGTTAAGCAGTTGGATGGACGAAGAAGAAAATGAATGAGCTAAGAGCTTGAAGACATACCACACAGCGATAGGGTCACCAGCCTTGTAAGCACGATCAACTTCTAGCACTACGTTGTCATCAACCGCCTTCAACATCGCTTTGCAGTTACTCTTATAGGCCAAAAGTGGGGGCCCCAATGGGACTAATGCAAAGCGCCTTGCGAGACTCACTCCCTGCAAACGGAGACGTGCTAAGTGATGGGAGCGCTTACTTTTCAATAAGTAGTTAACTCCATATCATTAACATCTCAACATAGCAAAAACGGTGAGAGACGGAGTGCCTCCTTAAATAAAGTAGTAGTTAATATTTCTGCAGACACTACCGTACTATATACAAAAGAAGACGGGAGAAAAGATAAATAAATAAATAAGAAGAATATCCTTTAGCAATTCATTGATGCAACGAAACTTTCCAATATATTATTAAGTCAGGCAAAGAGCCAATGTGCTTGTGATATTAGTGATAGAAGACAGACCTGGAGGTGAACAACGCAGGACTGCACAGCCACAAAAGCCTGCTTGAATATCTCAAATGAGAAAGCTTCCGTAGGTAGGTCGAAGGGATATTGCTGTTTAAATAACCAGGCAACCAATGTTTGAAGAATCATCAGCAAACTTCTCCCCGTAATCCTCTGCAAATATCTCACCAAGATGGAACATACTCTTCAGCTTCATCTCATAATGTAAAGTCGGCAGTGGAATTACCTTGAATAAAGAACCCGCCATAAACCACACTGTGTCAAGTTCTTCGTATTCCCGTTTGATACCTGCCAATCTCTCTAACACTACCTCCTGAACCATTCAAGAGAAAATGTCACTTACTTAAAAGAAATATGATAGTTAAAATCTGACACTGGAAAGATTAAGTCATCTCCTTTTTATTGAGTCATCGCGGAATTGGTTTGGCTTAATGGAAGGCATACTATTAGAAGGACACTAACATCACTGGCACTTCCACTCAACCGAAAATAAGACAGGGATGTCCACTGCCGAAGATAAAAATTGCAGAAACAGTAAAGCATGCATAATGTAGGAGAGACCTTCATGGTGCTTCCTGTGAAATACTCATTTAGCTCTTCTCGAGACCACAACAATGGCGACGCCACTGAAAGCTGTCCCCGTCCTCTTTGCCTGTCAAGTTCACGAATGTATGGATACCAGTACGATTCTTTCCCTTGTTTTTTCTCGTACATAAGATAAAGTGCTAGACAAGCAAGTTCGGAGAGCTTGTTCGTGGTCAATAATTCAGCTGCAGAAATTTCAAGGAAATAAATGTCAGCAAAGTACTGAACGAAATGAACTATGAACTATGAGGGAGATGAAAATTGAATCTCATCAATAACAAATGAAGTGGCAAAGGGCAGTCAAAACCCATTCATCGTGAACACTGATGAAAAAGAGGTAATTAACCAACTTCAATCACGAATACAAAATACTGGGACATCCATAGCCTATCCTTATTATCCATAAACCCTGCTCAATAGAACTACATTGGATAAGCGTTCTTAATTACAGTGTAACTAGTGCACAACTTCAAGACGATGGATTCTAATGAAAGCAGCAACTTCGCATGTACTCAAGAATGTCAACAGTCACCGAGAAGTATTTTTCGTGAATGTGGATTACATAAGAGGCTCTCACTATGTACGCAATGAGATAAGAGAGCACGCAGTGCATCGAAGAATGTTCGCACCTATGGTTTCGTCTCCCAAGACTCTCTCCAGTGTAACAACAAGGGACTTGGGGATAGTTAATGCCAATTCGCCGGGCTGCAAGCGGTCACAGCAAGAAACCGATGACGGTTTACATGATAAATGAGCTAGGTGAACTGAATGAAATCAAGGTGAAAGCTCCAAATTATTCTAGGCTCTGAATCCATAAAATTGTGGACACTGTCTGTGGACTTCGGCTTTATAATCTTTTAAAACATCACTGGAATGTAAGAGGCTGCTGAGCGGAAACTGAAAAATGGCACTCAGTGAGAATCTCAGTTACCTGCAAATCCTCGCTGGCCACAACGTAATGTATAGGCTTCCCTTTGTCACCCTCCGACGGCTGATGCTCTGCCAAAGATACTTTACACTCGGGCAACCCCTGTTCTTCCATCCACTGCTTCAAATCAATACCACTCTCGTGCTCCTGTTTCTTGCTTTGCGCAAGGTCGTTCTCATCTTGTTTGTACACATCCGTGGTTAGTGTATTCCGGCATCGAGATCCGCGTTTCTCACTGCTCACGGCCACTTTCTGCGTGCCAAACCTCGGAGGGCAGAGGTTTCCAACGAAGCCTAGAGTCGTATACCTCACGGCAGAAGACCTAGGGGCTGCACAACAAGGAGCCCCACGGCCACGTCCATTTGCAATCCCGGACTGCAGAATAGCGCTGCTGTAGCTCATTCCCGCTACAGAGGTTGGCATTGTGGCCGCCAACTCCAGCCAGACAACCAGAGTTGAACCTGCAAGATGACCAGAACAACCTACACCACCACCCGAACGGAGATCCCCACGCACATTTCACTACCTTCTCTTCCCCTCGAAAATTCGGAAAAAGCACAACACTAATGTACGCAGCGAAACAATCCCCTATGCGGCAACAAAGTACAGATAAATATCAAGCCAAAATGGTGCGATTATCGCACTCCGAGCAATGGGACACACTTCCTTCCAACCGAGAAAGCTTCCGAGCTGCAAGAAGAGATGCAACCCTATCCACTCCCTCGGTGAACGGAAAACAGAAGGTTTCATCGAATTTTCCACATTCATCGCTCGGGGCAACAAATGAAACAAATGTTCCTCGGGATAGATGAACGAATGTGTTGGGATTCTTGTGGATGAATGTTTTTGGCGCGGATTGCACCTTCGATTTCATCCAAAATTGAAACATAATGGTGGGTAAAAGTGCCCATTATGTTTATAAATCTTTTATACAATTTCGAAATGTGGTTTAATAATACTTGTGATCATTGCATTTGCATATGGTGTAGTTCATGCCAATATGCATGGTTACAAACTTATTGTGGTGCATGATCATACCAAATCTTAATGGATATTATCCCAAATAGTGGTAATAAATATATATATATTTATATTCATAAAAAGCACACTTTTTATATGTAATGCCAAATTTAATTGAATTAATTTTCCCACTTAAAAGACTAACAAAATATTATTTTGTACTATTGATTTCACTATTTGTAGAAAAAAAAAACAGATAAGAATGTGTTAAAATATCTCAAATTCAATGATAATGGAATTAAAATTACTATCATTAATGATTAAAGAGGCTATTTTTGGTTTATCTTGTTGTGTTTCATTTGCATTTGATTGGTAGATTGTATGAATTGAAGTAAGTTTATTCATATTCTAAAATGTGATCTCCAAATTCTATGTCTTCTACAAATGACAATGGAAGGCAAATGATGAAAATTACTTGAATGATTTTTTATTTTTAGGATTTCATTGCTTGTCTAAATTGATCATTATTTAGGAATAAAAACCAAACATTAGGAGGTTTCAAAAATGGCCTTTTTGGGTGATATTTCACCTGTGATGCAAGCTGAAAGCATTCTGTGATATTTCCAAATATCACTAGATACTTTGCCAATTCACCCATCTCACAAGGTGGGTGATTTTGAAATTGGAATATTAAAAGAGGGGTGAGTCAAATATCAAAAACAGAATTGCTTGTGTCAACTCTCTTCCCTCTTTGACTCCATACCAAAGAGGTAATAAAGTTTGAATGGTAATATTTTGGATTTTGATATTTAAAGTAATTCTGAAAATATCAAGTGCTGAACATTAGATATTTGGTTTTACAAAAGTGTCATGTTTGAAGCCCCCTATTACATTAACGATTAACGAAGTAGAAATTAAATAGACCATGTATCTACAATTGTGAACAGCTATGAAAGAGATGCCATCAAATTTACTCAAAAATTTCTTACAATAGAAGTTCTTAAACAGAGTATCTTTCAACCAAATCCTTGACATCCCAACTAACATCTTCTATACAAGATCACATACATACACAAATGCCACATCTTGCTCAAAATTATGAAATATAAAAATGGTTTAACAAATCACAATGAGTCTTTATTATGTTCCATTCATAACCTTTATACTTTTTCTGTTTAATTTTAGTGTTTTTCACATTTGAACTACACTAATACTTGTCATATGCTGCTTCACTGCAATTTTGTGAGATACAACAACTTGGAGATTACTGGCTAAAAATCGTTCAAGTTTTGCATTTGTAAGCAGGCTGCGTGAAATAGCATCAAACTGCATGGAGAGTGGTTTTGACTCTAGTACAAAAAGTAAGCTTCACAGGTTGTGTTCTCGGGATTTCAAACTGCTAGTAAACATCCTTGCTTTACACATGTCCTTTTACCCTTCACAAACAAAATGAAAGACCTAACATAACATGAGATTTAAGACAGAACTCCAGCACCTTGAAGACGTTAAGTTTGTACGGGACGTGGTGCTCCACTTCGCATAATAGCTCAGTGTCCAAATGTGGTTTCTACGTAGAAACCCATTTAACTAGTTCGGTCGAGGTCTGTAACTACTAATTACACCCTGTATCAAGCAATACGTTAGTGCTCCATTCCAAGGAGATTCATTATCCAACAGTAACAACACCTAACCATTTCAAATAACCTTGTATCAAACATAATACCCTACACAGAGAACCTTTAAGCAAGCGACAGACAATTGTATGACTAAAAAAGAAGACGCAGGCTAGGCATGGTGTCCACATGTTCTGTATTAAATTAAGTGCTCAAAAGTAGCATGTCTAAACTGGTGCTCAGACTCAAAACACCGCTTATCCAGGGGTTATAAGTACAAATCTACTACATGGCTAAAATGGATAAATAGACAATGTAATCGTCTAGCTAATTAATAAAGAAACAAGAAAATAATATTCAAAAACAAAAACAAAACAACATTCTCCAAAGATGATGCCGAAAAACGACGGACCGCATATTGGATGAGCAGTCGCAGTCACAAGCTTCCAACAAACCCAACTTAAGGAGAAGCATCACGGTGGGCAAAACAAAAGGAATTTGAACTCTTCGAATACAAGCATAACACTGAATGATGAGAGGCAAATCAATTGTGCATTAATGAAAAAAGTGAAACGTAGACGAGTGTCCACTACAAACAGCCATGCTGATTGCCAGATGCAGACGACCATCAGGACTAGCAACAACCTCACCTGGGCCAAGTCTCAGCTATTTCTCAACCAAGCGAGCCTAGCAACTAACAAAAAAAGTGAAAGGGCAACTGTATATGTCCTGCGGGAGGCTGGCTGGCAAATAAGGATAGGTTCTTGCAGTATCCAACCGAAGCTGCACTTAAAAAAACATAGATATGCCTTCAGTGAGTAGGCCACAGAGGTCACAAGGAAGAAACCAAATTGTGATGGTCCTGTACACAAAAATGAACTGCATGCAAGAGCCAGCAAATATTACCAGCAACGGTGCCACTTTTTTATCTTCGATATTTAAAGCCCTCTCCAGATTGATCAGGTTCCGAATGTGGTCAAGGTCCTGCCGCCCAGCATGGACATTCAGTAAGAAGATAAACCAACAAAAAAGAAAGGCTATTTTGCCTTCCTATTAAACTGACACGATCCACAAGTCACAGTTCTTCATATCTGAACCTCATAGCTCAAGATACAGTCTGCCAACCATACATGATACACCTCATCACTGTGGTAAAAACATCTTCCAAAAACAAGAGCATTAGTGAGATATGGCCTTCTTGGCACGCAGTGACTCTAGGGCTTCATGCCGCAGTTTATCCTCTAGCTGCTTCTGATCATATTCAGAGTGCTCTTCGTCACTATGCTCCTTTCCTTCAGGACTTCTCCTTTTCTCCTCCCCATTGTCAGCTTCGGTCTTCATTGCACGTTTTTCGTCTTTCCGCCTCTGCTTCTCCCTTTTCCTTTTATGCCTTTCGTCTCTGCGAAGCCTTTTCTCTTCTTTCCTACGCCGTTTTTCCTCCTTGCGTTTTTCCTCGGTTTCCCTTGGTGATAAGTCATCTTGGTCATCCTCCCTAGTAGCCCCACCGTCCTTAGCCTCTTGTATTCTAGATTTCTTCAAAAACTTCTCCTTAAGACTATCCGAGTCATTATTATCAAGCGCAATAGATCGCCGCCCATGGTCTTCCCTCCTTTCTTTACCAGGACTCTGCGATAGCTCAACTGTTTTCCTCGCCCTCCGTGTATCCTTGGATGCCTGCTGCTTCTCTGAGAAGGGGCTTCTTTCTCTCCCAGTGGACCTGTCCCTCCAATCACTGTAGTTGCGATCCTCTCTCCGCATATCCATGTCACGCTTCCCACTACCGCCGATTCTATCCTCGAGCCTTCTTCCCATATCATTGTCAAACCTGTCCTCCACGAGATTATAACGTCCAACCCTGTCGACATCAGTGTTGCGTTCAATTACACTGTGCGGACGTTTTTCACCCGATACCCCACCCATACCTCTTGTGACCTCCCTCTGCCACTCCTGAGAGTCGTTATGAGCCCACTTTTCTCTAGTTTCCCTCGCGGACCTATCCAACTCAGTCCTCCTGTTCTCCAATTCATTCTTTTGACTCCTCTCTTCAACTACATCCCTGCCACCTCTCCGAGATTCTTCGTTTTCATCGTTTAAGCCATCGTGGGACCACTTCTCTTTTTTATTTCTGAAAACTCTGTCAGACCCTACCTTCCGCTCTTTCACGTCACTATACAATCTCCTCTCTTCAGAAACTTTTCTGGCTTCTCGATCAGAAGCCCTAGTCTTTTTCTCTTCTTCATCACGAAACGCACGTTTGTCTCCCATGCTGCCCCTTGCATCTCTGTCCGTGCCCAATTCCTCATCATCACCATCGACAGGAGACGCTTTAACTCCAAAACCAGTAGGCCGTCGGTTGGTGACGGATGGCTTTGGAGATAATTCTGATCCACGAAAAACTGGAGAAACGCTACTACGTCCTTCCCTCACTCGAGGACGATCCACTCTGAAAATATAACGACATGGTAAGATAGCGTTGGACATGTGAACCAGCACGGTCACGAAAAGAAATAAGAAAAACAACAAATTCAATCGTCCAATTCAGCAAAAATTCAAAGGTGGTTCTCTGACAATGACGAGTTTGGAGTTTAGTGTGAAATCCAATTCCAAGTGACTTACCTTTCAGGACTCCAATATTCTTTCCTTATATCCGCTCTACTCCGACGATAAGGACTCCTGCAAATTAGATTTGCGAATTTTAATACTGAATATCAAGTGTTAAAACAAACTTAATTACATAATGCACAATCTCTCGAGAATATTTGTGGCAAAGCTGACAAAGCACTCATTGCTGCAAACTAAGACTCGCTCATGTACAGGCATTCTGTGTGGTAACCTGGCCCGCCTTCGTGGCACAGGTGAGAGGGAATAACTTGGGGACCTTCGTGGAGGTGGAGACCGTGACGCATAACGACGCCGCACAGGTGACCTATATGTAGGTGGAGATTTTCTTCTCCTAATCGGTGATCGTGAGTAGCTCCGCCTCACAGGAGAGTGTACAACTCTTGAAACACGAGAGGGTCGATTACGTGATATAGATCTCCTTCGTCGCCGAGGTGATCGAGAAACACTACGGGAATCTGCTCGTCTCCTGAGCGGACTTCTTACTGGTGACCTACACCAATAAAACAATGCCATATGTCAACCCACATAGCAAAGTGAATAAACGTGATGTGATCACTGTGAAGCTAAAACGAAAACGAGAGGATTAGAATCCAACGCCTACATACAAGTGCTGAGAACAAAGCAGGCAGTTAATTGCAGACCTCGCCATTGATAACCAAAGATACCATACCTGGACAGACTGGAGTCTAATGAATGTCTGGAACGTTGTCGCCGGCTATAACTCCTGGACACAAAAAGAAGGTATGATATCAACACAAGGACATGAGATTCCCCTTAAAATACTGCATATCGACAATTTGTAATTTAAAAGCAATTATAAACACGGAAGTAATGACCACGTAGAACTGTGAGTTGATAAATCTAGTGAGGATGAAATGTACCGGCCAGGTGGAGATCGACTTTTGCTAACCGATTTTCTAAGAATCCTGCAGTTGTAACAAGAAAATCATCGAGGCTCCCAAAAGAAAATAAAGTCGTGAACTGAAAACCTTCTCTAGGCAAATGCTGAACCCATTCTTCCGAAAAAAAAACCGCTTCCCAGATAATGCAAGTTGATACATCCATATCTAATCTACTTATTGCAGTCAAAATTAAAGGACTGCGAACTGGTTTGATCCTATTAACGAAGTGAGACTTTAAGTGCTGTTTTCATAAAAATGAATAATCCTTCAAGAACATCAGACAGCACATCATTGGAATCTCATAAACTTAGAAGAAACTCCAGACGAAGACCACAAACCCATTCCCCCGCGATGTTCTTCTGTCATCAGAATGTTTAGAGTCCCGGTCATTGTCTGCTAACCCCTTAGCACCCCCAGCAATCTTTGCAGCTTCAGCCGCAGCATCCTGTTCATGAATTAACACCCCACGTATTCAAAAACACAGATTATTACACAGAAATTTAACCAAAGCATGAGAAATCCATGTGCTCCCACCAAGAAGTTAAATGGTATCATCGATTAGTAATACAATCATCTATACAACCCATCTATAGCATAGGTTACCAAGATATGAGATAGAAACCAGCTCACTTTCTCACGTTGCCGCTCCTCTTCAACTAGCTTGTCCAGATCTCTCTTGCGCTGAAGTTCTGCTGCAATGCGCTCGGATTCGACCTGTGAGCATGAAAAGGCATGATCAGCACAAAACGAGAATCTTCGTAGCAAATAACAAAAGCGAGTCACCTACTCGCGTGCGTTAACAAGATGAACAAGGGTTTACCATCACATTTACCAAGAAAACAACAAGAGAGAAATAGCGAGACAACCACTGGGGAAAAATTACCCTCAGTAATCACAAATTAGACACATTACCTTCTTCAGCCGAGTTTCTTCAGCCTTTTGGTCCAAAAATTGCTGTGGGATACCACTCACATTGGACTGTGCACTTATTAACAAACTCCAAAGCTCTTTCATAAACTTTCCCGTATTTTTCTCCATGAAGCCTGTAAGCTGAATCTGAACATGTTTTCCATCTACATTCTGGATCCCAACACAAAGCTACAAGATTAGACCAACATTAAGAAGATCACTGTACTACAGAATACAACATGAACGTTCACATCAACACGAATGAATGCGCTCTTTGTGAACATTAAGTTAAGTTGACCATCTCTGAAGTGTAATATTCAACAGCTTCACGGTGAGCACTCACCTTTTCTTCAAGCATACCATTTATAAAATTGATTAGAACCTCATCTTCAAATCCGAGTAACTCCGTCACTCTAATAGCGACCCAAGGTTTTATGACATCCATTTGGACCTTGGAGGTATCGATCTGTAGATAAACATTGCGCGCAAAAAGAAACTATAAATACGCGGTGATCCACCAATTCGAGGCAACTTGTCAATATCTGATTGTGGTTACGAACTCAAAATTTGAAGGAAGTAACAACATTCCGAAATACTTTGCGCCGTGCTCAAAATTTTAGATTAAACTAGTGCGAAAGTAATCTGCACTCACCATTACATCAAGCTCTGGTGCAAATTTTTGGGACTTCAGCAATTTCTTCATTTTATTTGAAAAACGCGTATCCTGGTCCGCAGACGTTCCCTGCTCAAAGACGTTCCCAGATCAATTTACCATAAACAAATTAAAATGAGAAGCAATTAACATAAACCGTACAATTAACGGTAGAGGTACCAGAAGCAGCACCAAACTGCAACTTTAGGTTTGAACCCACCACACATTATTGCTCTTCACATACGAATAACTCAACTCAATTCCAAGGTCGAAGATTGCCAAGATAGAAACTAATACAGACCACAAAGAATAATCTGTCTTAATACCGAAATTCGCACTCATAAGTACACACCTAAGAATGAATTGTGTGCAGAATGAGCAACTCAGATACAAAATAAAAAAACAATTCCACACAATTAACGTATAAATAGGACCTCATGGTCAAAATCTCTTGATAGAAATTGCAAGCCTGTATGGAAGAACTAAAACACATACGGACACATGTTCTAGAGCACGTAACTCTAATTCAAGTAACGCCGGACAAAATCATGTCACCCTAGTTTAACCCTAAAATAAGTACATCCAACAATTGCACCATTGTGGGACAAACGAAATGTGTGTAGCCCAAAAAAATGGAAGCACCGCAGCTCGAACAAGTAGGCAAGGGCCTGGTATCAGCAGTTCTGAAGGAAGAAAAAACGAGGCGCATCACGAACACAAGCATATTTCCCAACCGCACCAAATCACAGCGCAAGCACTACTCAATCTGCAGCGCAAACATGGTGTGAATTGGAGCTCTTTTCAGCAGTGAAGAGTAGAAATGTAGCGCAAAGCTAAAACAAACAGTGGAAACTACACAAGAGGAGCATAACAATCACTGGATCTATGCACACATCACAGGGAAATGACACAAAGGCAGGACTGCAAGCCCAGGAGAAGAAGGAAACAGACAATTAGGCAATCATACTACATGAGCAATTGGAAAGTAGAACCAACAAGAGACCAAAAACCCCAAGGGATGGATTGTGGTGGTGGAAGGGGGGCGGAACGCACTCGAAAGAAACCGCCCGACATTGTGAAGTCAAGAGAGGACCGCTGTGATGGTGCTTCTTCCAATGCAAGAAGGGCAAACGATGGGAAGCCACAATGCACGCCCGATAACTGACGCTCTAGCAGCAACTAGGAGGGGAGTCGGCGAGAGGAGGTGAAGGAATGGGGCGGAGATGTCGAGCTGAAGCAGGAGGAGGAGCAGGAGCATGAGAACACGCTCCATGCGAGTAGGGCTTCACAGCTTTCATCGGCAACCAAAGGCCAGGGCCACGGTGACGGACGGACGGATAGACGGACGGACGAACTGACGGACTGACGGACGGATGGACGGACCTCCGTCGTTACTTTCCGTCTTCAAGGATGAGTGATCTCAAAAAATCTCCATCAATCCCTTAACGTGGATGAATGCGTTCGTTTTACTCCTTCATCCATCGGTATCTGCCATGATGCATTAACTTTTGTTCACAACTCTTTTCGTGGTTGAAGACCTTCTCGCCACAATCATGTACTTCTTACTCCATAAACTTTGTTACTTTTAGAAATCATCTAACGAATGAAATATTCAAAAAAATTAAATTACGCATGCACATATAAGTCTATCATGTCTGTACATTACTCTATATGATGATATGCGTCTTATTTACTTTGTATTAATATTCAACCTCGTACACATCAAATTTTATAATGCATAAATGAATGAGATTGCTGGTCAGAATAGTTGATTAGAACCTTGGAGGCCAAAACTTCTATTACAACATCAGCATCGCTGAATTCCTGCACATCATACTTTCACCTAAAAGCTTCAGATCCAAAATTAAATACTCAAGGTCTTGGAGATGCATTAAAAGACAGCATACTTTTCTTTCAAATCCTGCAAATAGGTGCTTTGCTTCAGAATATGTGTTACTTTCAATCAAGAGCGCTCGAAGAATGAATTTGAAAATTTATTCTTTCAGAAACTTGCCCTGTGACTTGTAAGCAATGCTCTATTTTGAACTGGATAAGCTGCAGTGAACATACATGACTACAGGTGCACATTGCAGCGGTACTTTAGAAGACATTATGTCAGATGCTCTACAATGTTTTTCGTAATATCAGGGTACCAATCCACATCGGCCTCGATCAAAATGTCCGAGTACAACCCTCCTACATCCACATCCATTGCCTCTCCATTCAAACTCTTCTTCTTTTTCTTCATCTTTTCATTCTTTTGAAATTCTCTGTAATTATCTTCTGGATCTCATTGCCTAGGTGTACTCGAAAGCAATTCGGTAACGACAGGCTTTTCATCGACACCTAGCTTCCCATTGGCCTGCTTTCTCCCCTCTGCACCATCCAATTTTATGTCCTCGAAATGCCTTAAAATGAAATGATGTTCAACCTTTCTCCTCCTTTTTCTTTCGAGATCTTCAAACGTTTCGACCCTTTACCTCTTTGAGATTTCATAATTTCTGGAACTTTGTCAACCTGTTCGACATGAAAGAATTTTGAACCACGCCCTGCAGATACAAACCTCAAATCCTCCCTAGTAATTCCCGAGTTCTTCGTTCTCGTCACCAGGATTTCCTCTAAACATTGGGAAACAGCATCAGCGCAACTTTAAGCAAAGCCAACCTCAGAAGCTGCCTCGGTTCACAAGAAACGGCGTAACAGAGCGGCAGCTTTATGTACAGAACATGGTGCAGCAGATATCTCTGTCCCTTTCACAGCCAATAGCCCCCCCATGCCAACCTACGCTCTAAAATTTACAAAGGGATAAAAGCGTGATGTAGAGAAACACGCTACTTCTAAGTTTAGGATTCCTGGAACCACAGCACACACATCCTCCAAGATCCGCAAAAGACAACGATGCGCAGTAACCAGATCTAGAATCATACAACCGGCTGTCAGCACGCTGTAGAAGCGTCTTGGTAGCTTCTAAGATCTCCTAAACCTAAGACTCCAACAACAAAGATTCAAACGCCAGCATGAGAATCCATGAAAAGACATGCTGCTATCCGTGAGCAGAGATGAAACAAGGGAGAGCGGAGATCAGCATACTCGCAATAGGAAACGCATCTTAAAATGACCTAATCAGTGAGCAGGAGAGAGACTCATGAAACTCTAATGGTGACATTATGCACGCTTCCATGGAGCTCTAGACATGGGAATGAAGCGAGAAGCGATGCTAATGAACTGTTGTAAACACATCGCCACCGCCAAAGCCATCGACACCAAGTTTGGGTTTACAACACTGAACAAAACTCTGTAGAAGAGGTTAGAAAAAGATAAATATATATATATATATATATATATATCTATATATATATATTTTATCTTGGATGTATTGATGAATGAGTAAATAAATATTTTTGAAGTGTAAGTGTTGAGAACGAATCACATAGATGAGTTTTTTTTTTTTTTTTTTTTTTTTTTTTTTTTTGCTGAGAAACAAAAAGGAATAATAAATACTAATACTATAATGAGTGACTTACATTATTGGCCCAAGTCATTGGATTGATACATGCATATGTTTTGTATTAAATACAATTTTGAGTATAAAAGAGTATTTATATTTATTTTTGAGATGCTGAATTAATGTGAGACTCTTGTCATTACCATATAAGGTTGTTTGTCAAACAAATTGATAACTTTATAGAAGTAAAATGTTTTGAAGTTTTGAAGTTTTTCATGAAGCTGTATCACAAAATCTAGATGTTCACAATACATGGTACAGAATTAAAACCGAATTTAACTTCTACATATTATAGATATTCTGTCTAAAAGGGATCTATAGTATTTTGAAGCACACAGTTCTTTTTACATAAAGATAATCTGTCTAAAAGGGATCTATAGTATTTTGAAGCACACAGTTCTTTTTACATAAAGCATTAACAACACACACACACATTTTACAAAAATAATAATTTATATACTAATCCATGAATACGCAGCACCTTTACAATTGAATGTTAATATAGAGGCATTTTATAGAACTAATTTTCCTTACAACTTTATATTTACGTCTGATCGATGTGATTGATGTTCAAGTGATGTCACTACCTTAGCATTTTACAGAGAATATCAAGCAACGCCTATGAGATTTTATAATCTATTTTAAGGATTTTGGTAACCATCCTTGACCGAACCTCCATGCTTGTAACTCCTACATGATGTTAGACGTAACATGAGAACAGGGAATGGGAATTCAAATCCAGTTTTACAGAAGAAAACAAGAGGTTGAGGACCCACTATATAGGAATGTTTCCATGTTTATGAAAAGTTAAAATTTAAATTTCAGGAGAGAATGGTAATAGTGTTGACCTTCGAACAGACATAGGTCAGAAATCCAGCAGAAAAGTTGCAAATGAAAGAAAGAAAGAAACAAACAAACAAAATGGAGTAGATAGATAGCACAACGGCTGCAAACGTTACGTGACAACCGTGACAGTTAAGTGACAATTGTGAGGCATCAAACAAGCTCTAAGTCCAAAAGTGCTGTTCTGTGATGGGTACACAATTTTCACAAATTTCTGATCCATCATTGTCACGGAACATATGATGGGTTGTGTATGGCCATGTTTACTCTTATATACTCGACAGCAAGCGTCTGTTAGTGCTCATAATCAATCACACAATGCCAATGATCTCATTGGTGTGGCATGCTTATGTGAGTCAATCATCCTGTGCATAAGGTATTGGACAATGTACCTTTAGAGTTCTCAAGTCAGAAAGGTGAAACTCTGCAGAACTAATATCGTATCTGAACCCAACCTGTGACTTAGGTCATTCAAACTAAAAGACATAATCGTGAATACTTCGAAGTTTCTTACCTGAACCCTGATCACGCCAGTCAAAAAGCTGCTCACTCCGTCCACACTGTCGCTTGCAAAATCTTCAGTATGTTGAAACACGTGTGAAAAATGCAATCCTTGAATACATTTCGCCAACTCTACCTTGATTTGCGGTGAAATAGCATGTTTACAAAGCCCTCCGCAACGGCGTCTACAACAGAGCGACCTCTCTGTTGAAGATCCAGCTGAAGCTCCCTGTCCTCGGAGCTTTCTTCAACTTCGCTTGTGCGCGTTCGTCCAGTCTCCTGATTCGAGGAGGCAGTGAGCACACATACTGTTGCGCAGCCTCGCCCTCGCTTGACAGTCCTTTTATGTGCGGAACATCCCACCTCTTCACCAAGTGTTCCATGATGTCCGCGTAATCCCTCGCAGTGTATACACCCGTTCTCTGAGCAACCAATGAGAAGTCATCGAAAAGGTGCCCATTCTCACCATCGTACATTAGATGTGCTGGCATCGATATTTTTTTTCTCATCATGTCAGCGAATGCTAGCATTGCGCCATCCGGGTCCAACTCAAACAGCTTCTCCACGATCTTTGTGTACGCATTCTCGTGCCTTCTCTCATCTGCAGCAATGATCCCACAAATCGTCGCAAGCTTTGCATCCCCATGCTCCTTCGCATGCCGTGCAGTGTTACCATGCGATATGAAAGTTGCTCTCTCCTGAAAAGACGTGTAAACAAAACCCAAGTAAGGGTTGTTCTCGGTTTGGGGGTCCTGCAACACCAAATAATATTCAAAGTCAATTCTCACACTCCAACATCGATACCCTACAGAACACCTCTACCCATCAATCAATACACTTACAGGCCTCTTCGATACCCCGAGTCTAGCAGCAGGGTATGACAGCAAAAGCATGCGGTAAAACAGATCACGCTACATTTTTCACTGGACTCAGTAGGATTACAGACTCTCACCATGCCAGATCCAATCAAGTACTGGGTTGTCTTCTCGACTTGTCTCATGTCCACTCGCCCTGTCAAGTACAAATACTTGTTCAGCAGATCTCCGTGACGATTCTCTTCTGCGGTCCATGCACGAGTCCACACACCCCAAGGAGTGGGACTAGCACCCGTGTCGTCGCGGCTTCCATCTAGAGTGTTCAACATGGTCTGGTACGTCGGCAGAGCCTCCTCAGTGATCATGTCGCCAACCAAGCACACCAAATAATCATCAGGCAAGCACGCAGATCTCTCCCGAAGCTCCCGAACTTGGTCCAAGAAGTCCTCCGCAGACGGATCTGGGAGAAAATCTTGTGGCTGCCAGCACTTCTCCACAGGCTTCAAATAAGGGAGAAGAGTATTAGAGGCCCAGCCTTCAAGGGACTTGAAAAACTCCAACCTCTCTGGTGTGATAGAGTGCATGATATTGGAGTGCTTCTCCAATGGTTGCTTACTTACAATAGCTCCCCTGCAAGAAAGAAAGCGATGTTCGCTGTAAGAGCCCTTCTGTATTGACTAAATACAACAACGATTCGACACCTTGGAGGTTCATGGGGGAGACACCAAACCGAGCCCGGCCAGTCCCTAGCATGGTTTGTCTCCTGTATCAAAGATGAGTCAGTAACTCGGGAATTTAACAATGCCTTTGTAATTGTGTGGATAAGTGCGGGAATATTTACATACTGAAATCGACCTCATGCACGTACGGTCTATACTTAAAAAATAAAATTTCCCAATGACTTGTGACGTGAGACACTCTCCAGCCATACCAAACAGCTCGTTAATATAACTTCTCGCAACATTGCGTTTGATTCCGTAGGTTTAAGAGCATTAAAGAATCATGATGGTACAGCCCACTTACTTGGACTTTTGTGGAAGTGTCGCAGTCATCAGAACTTTCAATCCACCGACCTTTCGCGTCGACGATGGCCCAACATTGATAGGGCTCTGGTTTAAGACGCTAAATACAGTCGCGCCTCGAACAGCTCCAAGCATAGCCATCCCACCAATGGATTCTCACCCCAATGGAACGCAACCAAACCCAGCTGCAACAAACCTGCAAAAGCTCCTTCAACGCGATTCATTACAAACACGACCTCACTAGCGGAACTTAACATGAGCAAAGATTCCAGAAACTCAAATCTAATATTTGTCCAACACAAAAACGAGAAATAAATAATAATAATAATAATAACAACAACAGCAAAGAAAGAAAAAGAACACAGAATGTAAAATGGAACTCGAAGCTGCAAGAAACTCGATCAATACACAGCATCACTCCCAACAGAGAAAGCTCACGCAACCGGCGCGAGCAGACGTACAGACGTTGCAGCAATTCCCGGTAATACCAACACATGGTGTCGAAGACAGCCCCCGTCTAGAATTCGAGCAGCTTTGCAAAATTCTCACCTAGAAAAACAGCCAACCTTTCCAGAACCTGGAAGCTGCACCGACTGCGTAAAACCCAGTGCTAATTCAAGCTCAAAATTGGCAATAATGAGGAATCAAGTAGAGAATGAAGAAGACTTGCTAAGCTAAGCTGTAGTGAGGGAAGAGGCTGCGCCTGGGCGATGACGCTGGAGGCACAAATCCCTGTCGCCTTAAAAGGGCAAGAGGGGACGAGACCGAGGCGAACGTGGCCTTGGCAGCAGCAGGGGCTGCTTGCTTGCTTCTCTCCAAGCCTGGTAGTTGGAATCCTCGACGAACGATGTTTATATTTCGTTCACTTTGTTCCCATGTCTTCGTCCTGTTCCCCTACCCCTCCGTCCGTTCCCCCATTTTCGACTCATCTACCGAACTCCGACCGACTCGGCAGAGATATGTATTGCGACCGACTCGGGCAGTTGCGACTGCTCTCGGCCAACCCTTAGGGATTGGTTACGATGCTGGGTTGCGCCATGGATGGATGGATGGCATGAGCTCCCCCCCCAAGTTCAGAGCCCTTGCCATTTTCTTTAAGAATTCCACATTTTCTTCTGCAACAAGTCATATGACAGAGCTTGGAAATTGGTCCAACACTGATTGCAGTGAGAGCCCACCTAGCAGTTGGGGGGGGGTTGAGGCTTGAGCAAGCTGCCCAGAGCCTGTAAAACCAGTGAGTGAGTGAGTGAGTGTGTGTTCTTCCATCACTTTCCACGGAAGCTGCTTGATGTGTGGAGTTATTAACTGGGTGGGTGCGGTACTACTGACATGGACTCGGAGGATGAAGGCATTGTTAATCCCTTGGCTCAGCTCATTGTGCGATTGAAATGTTGCTTTGGAGCTGCTAGTGTTGATATTTGTTTGTGTGGGTTGGAGATGTGGATACGGTTGTGGACTTTAACAAAACTTCCATCAAACAATGTGACCGAGGTTGATTCCTCTGCTTTTCTTACGGAAACGTCTAGCATTGCAAATCTAGGGCAGTGTTTCATTCCATACAGCAAAGTATGAAGGTAGTTGTTGTGAAGAAGTTGTGCAATTTATAAGATTGATCACATAATAATAACAATAATAGGGAGTTTTTTAACATAACACCCCATATTGTTAAAGCAACACCCCCTTGGGTTCTCATGATTAATTATGTCCCTTGTTACTTGTTCCCTATTTCTTGTCCCCTATTTCCTTATGGGTGTTGCATTAACAACATGGGGGTGTTGTGTTAACAAATCTCTAATAATAATAAATATATTTATATTTATACAAGGTTTTAGAACTTGATTTAGTTAATGTGTTTAGGTACACAATCTTAGAGTGTAAAGAAAAAAAAATAGAGTATTATTTGTATTGAGTTTTATTTTGTTTTTGTTTGTTTTTTATGTATCTTCTTGTTATCAGTAACTTAGTATTACTCATTTCAAATGAAACTTCATAAAGACATTTGACACAAATATAAAATATCTTAATACATGAATATTATATCATCTAATTAAATTTAAATTGACACACCATGATGGCACTACAAACACTTGAATGCTCAAATACCTCAAGTTCATGCTAGTTGTTGTGAAGAATATGTATTAGGTACTAGCACCCTATCAGTAGGTAAGAGGTCCAAATTTATTTGCTTAAATTTATAGAGATATCACTCAGATTGGAAAATCCTCCGTTATCAAGGAACTAAGATTAGTTAGAAATACTCTTTGAGTGATTTCAAACTACAAAATCATGTAATAGATTTATTTAAGATTTTAATAGGTTAATATAATATTCTTCTTAATATATATATATAGATATATATTTCTACTTTTTTTAAAAATAAAATATTAGATTTAAATTCACACATTTTTTTTCTATGAACTTACAAATCTAAATTAAGTCATAACATTGGCTTTTAAGATTGAAAATCATATTACAATAAATAATCATAGACATTTTAAAGTGATGAATATAACATTAATATTATATTGATATTTTTTCATTTATAAAACTTTAGATTAAACACAAAAATTATTAGATTGTATTACATTGTTTTTCTAAGTTTAATTGTATTTCTGAGATCTTTATTTTAGGATAAAATAAACTATACTTAATTTAACCAACATAATAATTGATCACTTTAAGCTTTAAACAAACAAAAACACAAAACATACAAAAACTCCAAAAAACAAAAATTGTTTAAGAATACTTATATACCATGTAGCCATGATGGATTTTCTCGTCCAAAATCTAGCTAACAAGGACTAACATGCTAACATTAGATTGAATTGCTAATAATTACAATACCAAGGGTACTTTCACACTTTCTTTCCCAATACAATCCTTCCACTTAAACTCACACATTAATGGCAAATGATCAGATGGAAAGACAGCAGATGGAAGGGCGTCTGCACCAATAGCGGTTTCACTTGGCAGAGGCCACCGTCTACATGGAACCAAATTGTTTTGAACATTGTACCAAATGTAGTCAATGGTTCGTTTCACCTCACCTTCTTTGCCCCTGCCAAAATGAAGAATGAATGCAGCATTGGTAAGCATTTTTTGGTTTTTGTAGAAAGAACTGATCACTCGATGGTGCTTAGGAACCAAACTTGCACTCGAAGAAATTAGTATTGAACTGGAAAAGATGGTTCATAAAGGGAGAACATGGAAGTACCTTATCTTCCACGTAGTATACATGGGTTCCGCCTGTGCACCGCCATTTTCTACAAAATCGCAAAGTTCCATTACTTCGAGTTCATTGACACGATGAGGAGGGTCACAGACGCATATCAGGCTGTACACACTTGCGAAGTTCTCATGCAGGATACTGTAAGTGTTTGAAAAGGGATCCGCATTCAGATCACCACAAAGGATTGATGCAACCAATGATCCTTGTGCCACATCTTCCAACCGCTGTTTCACCAGAGTAAGGGTTGTTACCGTTAGTATTTTGGAAGTGTTCCTCTTGGTAAATGTGAGAACTGAACTTAAAACAAGAAAGAGCTTGCTACACTGTCACCATATATTACAACTTCTAGTTTCAAAGCCGAGTCGATGGGCAGAGACTTGCATACCTGAATTATTTGCCGTGTTTCTAGAACTCGAAGCTTTTCATTGTAGTGTCCTCGTTTGGCCTGATTCACAATTAAAATGAACAGTCTAATAGTTTTTTTCTTTTTCTTTTTTCAAAGGAGTAATATTAATAAGAATCATAATAAAGTCTAACGAAAAATAAGTCGCATTGCTAGTATAAGAAGAAATCAGTGTCAACTTGAGTATGCAGTCGTGCTTTGAATTTACCCTGTCAAGTATACTGGTAACCCACAGAATTTCCGAACGGTACACATCTAGATGTCCTACCTTAAGGTGTGTATTGACGAGTACAAAATCTTGGTCAGCATCTATATCCCGAAATCTACAAGTCAATCCTCCCTGGATAAAATCAGACAAAAAAACTTGTAAGTGCAGAGATTGAGAGATATTTACTACACAATATCCTTCCATGGACATGAGCGGAGTCAAATTCAGCATTTTGGCTCGTCAAGTGAGGACTCCAATATTCTAACCATTGCTAAAAGGACAAATTAGATAACCTGTTTCACATCCAAAATGAGATGATCTGTTTGGTTACAACCTAGATTACCCTTTGTATACCCACTACCTCCATGTTTCCAGTTGTGTAGTTCAGTAAATTTGCAGGTTCGTTGCTAGTACCTGATTCAACTTTTTTCCCTTGGGATCCTCATACTGGATCGTGTCACTTTCTGTTCTTCCATTCATTCGCAATCCACATCCACGTTACATTAGGTCGAGAATTCACGTCATCGTCCGGCCTTTATTACCAGCGCAATTTAAGGAACACCAACGGCAGAACTAAAAGAGAGAAAAAAGAAAATTGTAGCTCTACAAATTGCCGGTATCAATCCTCCAAAAACATACTTAATAGCTGTAGTCGTGATGATTTGTAGAATATAGCACAACCATCCGCAGGGGACTCGAATTTCTACACACGGACGGTCAATCACAAAGTGTTCTGCTGAGTATACGCAAGAGTTGTTGATATCTAGATGTCTACTTCGTACACCGAGGAAATTCAGGAAATAAACCAGAAAAAGCGTCAACGATTAGACCATGGAGGCCTACATCAATCAAGAAATTTGAAACCATATCCGGAAAATCTTAAGTGACAACACAAGGTCGTGTAACGTCATGGAAAGCGGATGCACCTGAGCAGCCGAGCAGGGTTTTTGCCAATACTCGCCGACATAGCCGTGACGTTTTAGTTCTGGGAGGAAGAAGTCATCTGCTCAAAGAAGCCGTATATCATCAAATTGAGTTGCACATTATAAGAGATTATGTTCTAAAATTAGTGAGAAACAATGGACACAACGAAATGTAGGCGAATCTGGTTGAGAAAAAAGTACCAAAATGGTTCAACTCTTGTAAGCATATGACATGAGGGTCGTCTTTCAATATCCTGCCCAGCAACAGTGGCGCACGATGGTTCCACTCCAAAAATTTCTTCTCTACCTTCCATTATCATCAACTGATATGCTTCTCAGATTACAAGCTTACAATAACGACGTGTGACCACAAACGCTTTAGCATCAACATTCATCAGACAACTAGTAAAATTCGGGCGATTGCCTTGCAAGCCGCTACTGCAATCCACGAGACCACATCATGATATCTTGAGATATAGTAATTACCCGATCAAAATCTCCGGACTGCGCAAGCCCGTCGGCTAGAACATTCCACTGCATTACTCGGAGCCCCTCTAACATCTTTTCAGGTTCATCGGCAAGAAGGCGAGAATTTTCCGTCAACCCCATGCAATCCCCTACCAAATTGTCGATAACAGACTCCGATCGCTCCTCTACAGCAGAACCCATATCATGTAATTGACAAAATTTGACAGTGTCTCTAATCCTGCACGCTACCAATGACCCATTTGAGGGGAGGGGAAAAAAAAAAAAGAAAAAGAAGAAGTTACAAAAGAGACAACACAGATCACTGTTAAAGCCACGATTTAAACCCTACTTTGTCCATCTCACAAGACAAATGCAGCAATTCTCTCACAAACTAAGCGATTCCAGTACAAATTTGAGGCAAAACATGAGAATGAGGGCATTGAGATGCTAATGACAGATGATGGGCGCACAAGAATTAACCTAGTCGAAACGTGAGTAAACGAAATTGCGTGTGGCGGTGGAAATGCTGAGGGGAAGAGCAGAATATGCCCAAGAACAGGAAACGGTGAGGCTTACAATCGACTTTAGTGCGCTCATAGGCTCTGGAGTGTTTTTAATACACACCAGGATTCGTTACTGTTCAGAAATTAGATTTAGCCGAAGCTTTTATTTCATATTTTATTCAATTAGTCCTCTTTGTTAGCTTTCTAAGGATGTATGGCACGTCTCCACCCGATCTATAGTGAGTTAGATGTGAATTTTTGAAGTGAAGGTGTATAGTAAGAATTTACTTAGAGAATAATCAAACAGTTATTCAGTAAAACTAATGAATGATTAGTGCCGTGGGTGAGAGATGAAGGTGGATGAGTTTAATAAACCTTGTTTGATGGACGAGTAGCTGGATGAAGTTTAACCAAAGATGGATATTGATCAATTTTCAATAAATGTCGACTGATGCTAAATGAATGTTTGTTAGGTGCTGGATGAATATTGATGAACATTGGAGGAATGCTGATTATAGTTTGGATAAATGTTGATTAGTGTTGAATTAAAATTGATTAAAACAATAAAATCCATCCAAAGCCCCTCAACCCAGACTTAACATTTTCCAGACTTGGTTGTGAAGTTTGACCTAATTAAACGATTGGATGTATGCCAATCTTTGCAGACATGCCCCACCATTCTTCTAGTAAGTTAGTAGTACAAGTAAAATAGTTGTATCTTGTTTGTTACTCTCTTCCTAGTGATCACAATTGTTGTTGATGTTGTTCATAAGAGCTCTTCTTTTGTTCCATAGTGGCAAACTTTTTGTAACATATTCCCCTTTGTGTAATAGACTTTCCAATGATGTCCAGCTTTTCATGACCTAGTTCTAGCTATTCATTAGTTGGCACATGGCACCACATATCAATGTGCAAAACCTTGTCATTGCAATGGTAAGTGTTGAGAATGTTTAGAAAGACACAAGAATAGTAGTAAGTAATACACACACACACACACAAGATAGTTTTCAAGGAGAGAGAACTTCACACACAAGTCTATTGATCTGGTTGTATCATATATACAAGAGGAGAAGGGGAGAAGATAAATAGTTCTTCTCCACTACATTCCAAATACTATAGCTACAATATTTACTGTAGACTACAATATATATTATGGAAAGCGTTGGCTACATTTAATGCTCTCAGCACTCTTCCTCGCTCATCATAATATTTACATAATATGAAATTTGTATAGAATTATGATCTATACTTTTCTATAATCTTGCAAGATGAATAATTGTTGCCTCATTAAAACCTTATCTAAGAAAACCTTATTGTATTTAATGGCAAAACCATAGATGAAGGAAAAAGAGTACAACATCATTTTTCTTGATTATTTAAAGACTTCATTAACTTTCTTATTCAAGAAAAGCAAGTCGCCGCATACTAATGCCATAAATAAGTCGACAATGGTTACACAATGAGAGAGCTTTGGTGAAGAGATTAGTAAGGTTATTTACAAATTCAATTTTCTTAATTATAAGTGCTTGATTAATAATTAAGTTATGGGTATAACTAAAATACTTTAGATCAATATGCTTTGTCCTATCACCTTTAATGAAACCAACTTGCATTTATACAATACAAGCACTATTGTCTTCATACAAGATAGTTGGAGAATCATCATATGAAAATCCACAAGTTGTTTGAATGAATTTATCAATTAATCGCAACCAAATACATTCTCGAGATGCTTCATATAAGGCAATAATTTCTGCATGATTGGATGAAGTTGCAGTTATTATTTGTTTCACTAATTTCCATGATATTGCAACTCCATGTCTTAAAAATACATATCTTGTTTGAGATTTAGTTGTTGTAGTATCAGATTTATATCCCGCATAACAATATCCTACCAATTTTGGATTTGCAGATTGTGTATAATATAATTCTAAGTCTTTAGTACCTTTTAAATAACATAATAAAATTTTGATGCCATTCCAATGTCGTAGTATTGGACGTGCACTATGTCTTACAAGAACACTAATTGCAAATACAATATCTGGTCTTATAGATGTAGCCAAATATAAAAGTGCTCCAACTGCTATAAGGTATGGATATTGATCTCCCAATATTTCTTCTTCTTCTTTGCATGGATAGTATGAATCATGACCATTACGACCACATCCAATCATTGGTGTCAACAATGAATAAGCATCAATCATTTTAAATCTCTGCAAGATTTATCTAATATATGTTAGTTGGTAGAAAAAAATGCTACCATCTGTGAGATGCATAATCTCAAGACCAATGCAGAAAGTTGTTTTTTCTAGCATTTTCATCTCAAATTCACACATAAGTAGGTTAGTAGCTGCAACACATGCAGATTTAGTACCTACTAGATTAAGATCATCAACATATATAGCGATGATCACAAAACCAATTTTATCTCGTTTGATAAACAAACAAGGGATTAGTGGATTACTTACAAACTTATGTGTAATTAAATAATCTCAAAGACGGTGATACCACATATATCTGGATTATTTTAAACCATACAAGGCCTTACATAATTTAATACCACAATATTCTTCTAGAGCAGGTCCATTTGGAGTTCTTGTTTCTAAGCCAAGTGGAACTTTCATATAAATATTTACATTAAGAGAACCATATAGATATGCAATTACCACAACCATTAGATGCATTTCAAGAGTTGGATGAACTGCCATTCTAATAATTTATTGAAATGTAATTGAATCCATGACTAGAGAATATGTCGATTCATAATCAATGCCAAATCGTTGAGTAAATCCTTGAGTAACAAGACGAACTTTATAGTAGGTTATTTGATCATAAGCATCTTGCTTGCATATTAATATTATCTTATATCTCCTAGGGTGAGATGTAAGAGTGTCTATAATTGGACCAAAATTTTTTTTGTTATACAAAGAGGCATATTCTTCTTCAATAGCAATTTTCTATTTTGACCAATTAGAGTAATATATCACTTCCTCAATGGTTTGAGGTTCAAGATCATCTTCCTTGTAAGAAAAGGGCTTCTATAATCATACATGCAAATGTTTCATCTACTGTAATAGATGGTCTATCCCAAATATCATCTATAGCATAATATAGAATAGATAATTCTTTATTCAACTTATTCTTATTCCTTCGAATTCCAAGATTTTTTTTCATAGGAATTGAAGGTACATTATGCATGGATATATCATCATGAATTGGTGGTCTCCCAAGATGAGTGGCAATTTCTTGAAAAATAATACTAGAATTAGTCAATATTATAGCTTTCTTCTTACGTGGTTGCTTATCTAGTCCATGAGTTCTTTTAGTTGTTGTTGTTGTTATAACTTGAGGTATTGTAATCAATAGCACTATAATCTCAGCATGTGCATTTTGAGCCTCATCAATAGGAACTCTTGTAATTCTAGGTGCATCATTGAAGCCATCAGGTGTTTTATCTGCGATCCATTTTAGATGCAAAATCTTAGCAACTTTAGTTTTAGCTAAAGATGTCCTAGGATCGGGATTCATTGTAAATATTTGTGATGCTTCAAATACAAGTACTTTATTTCTCTGTTGATTGAATATTCTTCTTTAAAGAGATAAAAATACATTCTCTTCAAAACGGAAATTTTATAAATAAGCATGTAATAATGTGCCAGTTGATGGATCAACAATACAAATAATACTTGGTGAATCAAAACCAACATATATGCCTTCTTGTCAATGAACTCCAATAATATGTCGTTGAGGTTCTGATACTCAAATCCAAGCACGGCAACCAAATATTTGTAAGTGAGATACATTTGAAATAAGATCCAAAATAAGTTCATGTGATGAAATAATTTCAAAAGAAGAAAGGCGATGGCATATTAATGTTGCAACATGTAAAACTACATGACCCCACATAGATGCAGGTAAATTTTCATAAAAGAAGAGTAGCTAGATAATGAGTTGTATATGCTTTATAAATGACTTTGTAAGTCCATTTTGAGCATGTTCATATGGAACACAATATGTCAACTCAATTCCTGTTGTAGTATAATAGTCTTCAGAAGACTTGATGCAAATTCTTTAACATTATCCATATGCAATGTTTTTATAGGATAATCAGGAAAATGGGCCCAAAAAAAAATAATCATAGATATAAGATTGGCAAACACTATGTTTCAAATTGATAATAATGAAACATATGATTGTTTACTTGATGCATTAATAAGAACCAAAAAATAATGAAATTGACTTGATATTGGATTAATTGGACCACAAATATCACTATACAATCTTTCAAGCATCGGTGGTAATTCTTGTAGAAGTTTCCAAATTGAAGGTCGAATAATCATCTTATCTTACACGCTTGCAAGACATAATTTTATAGAGTCTACATCCACAGGCTTCAAATTATGCCCAATTATACTTAGAATGATCTTTCTAAATAATATAGATCTTGAATGTCCCAATCTCCTATACCAAAGAAAAATATGACTCTCTGTAATAGATGATGAAAAATTGAATATAATGGGAGGCCAAATTGTAATTCGATACAAACCATTTTCTATAGCAAAAGCTTTTTCAACAACTTTATGGTTCTTTGCAAAAATCAAAATCTCTTTTTTATTTAAAATGGCGGTCAAGAAGTGATAACCATTGATACACATATCTTTGTAGTTCATCAGACTTCAAGGTACCGAGGGTGCAAACATTGTATATTTATATTTTATGATGGAATCCACAAGTAATTTTACCATCGCTGTATCCTATTAGAAACAAAATGCATTTGCTCCAGCCATGGTCATCATATTTTTAGTTTGCCAAGTTGAAGATTTTTCAATAAAAAATTATCTATCATGTAGGATAGTATATATTATTGCAAAATAAATGAGCACATCATTTGATCCATCATTAGAGGTTTTGTCATTCATATAAGCCTCTAAGTTATCAATACCAATTGAATCCATCGATGC